CCGATTAGAAGAGTAAATGTTTTAGATTCAACTTATGTTAAGAAAGAAAGAGGTAGATCTAGGAAGACTTGGGCATGTTGTATAAAAAATGATATTAATTTAATAGAATTAAATGAAAATATGACACTAAATAGGAAGCAATGGAGAAAAATGTTCCATATAGCCAACCCCTCTTAGTGGGATAAAGGTTTTGTTGTAGCTATCCATCTATTTTGTCTGAACATCTGTTGGTGAGTACATTATTGAATTAATTTTACTGCCCCAATGACTCCATATGGTCTTACAAAAGTAGCTCAAAAGCATCTCACATCTAATATGTTCGACATCCCTCAACATAGGCAACTAAGGAAGTAGTCTATATATTTGAAAAATCTTAATTTCTCTTATCTGGGGTTGTCATGCCTCTAGTGTTGATTCCCCGAACTCACGGGCCTTTTGAACTTCCAATGTCAGTTTTGTCGACGCTCCTCTCAACTCCTGCAAAATGATAGTTTGAAGCACCACAATCTCAAACTCTGTATGGACGTAAATTACCTCATACTCACTCTCTTCTCGAACAACTATTGTTACTTTAGTTGAAGTAGCTATAATTTCTTTGTTGTTGGATGGAAGTTGAGAATCCAATCTGAAATCTTTGTCTGTTGGCTCACTAACTTCATAGCTCATTGATCAGTGAAAGAGATCATTCTCCTGATTATGCAATCTGATTCAGTAGGTCCAAATTTGACACTAGAAACACTACTTAGTTGTGACGGATTTGGGAATGTGTATTGGCTTCACTTATTCTGCACTCTAAATCAATTTCTCAAGTCTGGGCTTGTATGTTCCCTTTCTTGTGTTCTTGCGACTCGATTCTAAGATTGAACTCTGCCTAAAGATGTAGCGGTCATCAAGTGATGTTGCATCTCCATTTTTGAAGCTGAGGTATGAACATTCGGTCTTTAATGAACTGGTAGGTATTGGCGCTACATCTCCCATTTTATCTTTGGATGAGGTAGTGACCTTGTCTTTTCCCTCACATTAACTTAGGTGATTCAAAATTTTCCACCAAAACAGCACACTCTTCCTTACTACTTTGTCTGGTGGGATGTCTTGGTACTCGAAAAAAAGAACCACAGTCTGGAGTCACTCGATGAACTCGTCCGGATCTAAATGATCGTCAAAATATGATAAATTCACCTTATTTCAAAATTCTGGCTTCTAATAAATTTCAAGTTTTCGGGTCAGATGTTCTTCATCTCTGTCATTTGTATGGTGGAAGAGATTTACTCCATTCATTCGAGCTAGCAAGACACCGTTGTGGCTGCGGGTGACCTGTCTTGATGGTCTCCTTTCCTTAATTTTATTGAGTTTTTGTAGCAGTCAAAGTTGTTATTATATCCCTTACATGATAAACACTTGATCAGTGTCTGGCTATTATCTCTCTGGTGGCATGATTAGTGTTTGAGTTTGGGCTTGGGCTTAGGTAGGTAGAAGAGGGTGCTATAGGGATGATGAAGGATGAGAAAGAAAATTTGGGTGGAAATAAGGTTGGATGTGGTGGATGCTAGAAACTCAAAGATAAGACTAGAGTTAGGCTATCACTGATATCAAATAATGTTGGAGTTAACCTAAACACTAATAGGAAAAATAAATATTATTATTGCAAATCCAATTAGGCGGTTACAACTCACACGTTGAAAGGGAAATGCAATAACAAAAATAAACAAACACAACTAAAGCGTATCCCAATGGTCGTGGAGGTTAGTAAGATGGATTGGAATGGGTAGGTTGGAGCGTTGGAAGGTGGCAGATTCAAGAGGTAAGGTTTCTAGAAGGTGGATGAATTGTGGTAAGGCCTGTCGAGAGCTAGAACAATAATAAGAAGGGATGGGAGATGGATTGGGCGGCTGGAACAGCAAGGACAAAAAATGGGGAATGGTTGGGGCAGAATTTAGGTAGTGGCGGAGGGTGGTAAGGGCATTGGATGAGCTAGGGGTGACTGGAAATGGCAAAGGGGAGAGCTGGACAGCGGATAGGTAGCAACAGAGAGTGGTAGGGGCAACAAAATTGGTTGCGGCAGCGAGGGAGGCAAATTCTAGAAGGTGGCAGCAAGTGGTAAGGGGAAGAGTGTAGGTTCCTGCTGGGCGTGGAGGCAAGGTGGCGGGGAAGGCTGGAAAAGGCAGAGTAAACAACTCCTTGTTGTCTTGGATGGCGACAACAAGCAAAAAAGCAACTGGAAGGGATGGAAGATAGAAAACTGCAAGAAAAAAAATGATCGGGACAGCCGAGAGAGAATTGGGAAGGCTGGGAAAAAGGATAAGAAAGATAGTCACCACCTCGGGAATAATATACAACTGAAGCACCATGCGAACCCTCAGATAAAGCCCTTGAAGAGCGAATCGAACGTCGATGGCTGGCCTAAACAAGCTAACACCAAAAAAACCTCCTTCCAAACCCTAATGCAACACATATATAGCAAAGGACTAAAAAAGAATTAAAGATAATAGAAATGAAAGCATAAGAAAGGGAAATGGGATTGTTTTGGCCCGTCTCCCGTGATAGTGAATCTTGCGATATTGTAGTAGCTATAGTAGCAATTTTTGTGCAGGAAGTACCTGCATCACTACTTCATGGCTATCGTCAATCCTTCTAAGGCAGCAGCATACCTCTCATTTTCCCTTTCTAGCATCCACTCTCTCATCCAGTCGACATCATTTTTCCACGTTCAACATTGGTTCCACATATCTACTCGCAATTTGTTCATCTTAGCCCTCCTCTTGATCTGTCTCTCTTCCTATAGACTCCTAAGATTTGAATGGTCTTCTCTCTTCCATCTACATTGCCCCTGCTACGGGTGTCAAAAATTGAGTCAACACAAGCCAACTTAATTTGAACTCGACTCGAAAAATCTGGGTCTAGTTTGACCTGAAGAATTTTTGTCAGGTTTAAGCAAAGAATTTTAACTTATTTTATTTTCCGAATCAGGTACGAGTTAACCTGCCAACCAAATTTGACCGGAAACTGACCCGCTAAACTAAAATTGGCTAGAAATAAACCTATCGGCTCGAAATTGATCTGAAATGAATAGGAATTTGACCCAAAAGCAACCTGAAAAGCTATTATGACGTGTTAAATGGGTTATACAGGTCAGGTTTGGGTCAACGGGTTGAAGGTGTGCCTGATTTGAGTTATACTTTCTGACTCATTTAATATTTCAATCGGGTTCTGGTCAAGAGTTTTCGGGTTGGGCCAATTTTGGTTCAGACCCAACCTGACTTACAAACCCGAATTGACACCCCTAGCCCCTGCCTCAGTCGCCTTGGCATCTCATAGATTCTTTTATTTTTTGCTATGATGGTCTCCATAATCTACTTTGTTTTTTGCTATGATGGTCTCCATAATCTACTTTTGAAGCTCCTTGCTCTGATCACTCTGGTCATCCCTGAGGTTCTTAACCCTTTACTCTTACCAATCCCTCATTTGCTAATGTAGTTAGGAGTGATGGGGTTATGGGTCCAGATTTCATGCAATCCTTAATAAACTATCATTAGGCTAAAAAAAAATTATGTTCACAAGCAAATTTCTTCTTTTTAAGAAACCTACGCTTATATGCATTCATGTTGAGATTTCTAAATTTACTTGATCATTCACTTTTACTATTATTGAGAAATTCTCTGAGTTGTCCTATCATAAATATCAATTACAAATTTATATCAGATTTACTAATGATTTGTAAACTTTCAGTTGATCTATTTTTTATTCATCATCGTATCATTATTAGAATTCATTTGTAGTCATATTAAATCAGGCTCTTTTCTCACTGTACATACTAGATCAGCAAATTTTCAATAGTAATGCTGAAGTGGACACCCCCATTTCAGGCCTCCGAGTAGCAACCAAAGACCCATCTCTCTGAGCCTTTCGTAGTGGAAGAATTGGTGGCAATGCATATTACCTATTCTCTTTATAAGAAGGTCCTGATTGGTACATCGCTTGTATTAATTAGCATAAGGTTGAATTTGAAGGCATGCCTCAATCTTTCTAAGAGACCTTCAGCCACATTCATGTTGATTTCATCAAGGCCCATCTGGAACTAATAAAATGAAATAAACAGAATCATGAAATTCACTCAAATGATCATACCACTCCTTCAATGACCATCGCTTCTCCATAAGTGCAGAATGTTCTAAAAAATTGGGACCAATTAACTCTAAGAAAGCTTTATTTGGTGTGATTTCCCTTGATATTCATTTGACTATAACATCTACATCTCCAATAAATTGGATAATGATCCTCCTACTTTAGATGGTTTTCACCAAGCATCAAACTAGGCGGGCAAACTAAGCTTGGATGCCATAATATCTTATTTTACCATATGTAGGTAATTCTTGATAATTGCCCTCTATGTAGTTCTATCATTCGCTCATAATGAGAATTGTTTTAAAAAAAGTGAATGAATAATTAAGATGATGGAAAAAATATTTAGAAACTAAGGAATGCAAGATTTATAGAACCATAGAGGAGGTGCAGAAAAACTAAAAATAAGTAGCAAAAAAATGATTTTATAACAGAAAATGTAAAAGTAGCATAAATTCAAGATAAAGGTGTACATAGTGATTTGGGCCCCCTTTAGAAGGAAGATAACATATAAAAATAAGATGAAGAGATGGAGTTAATTGTATGGATTAGGAAGAAAATTTGATAGCCAAAAAAACAAATCTGTGCAGAAGTTGCGAAAGGAATTGTGTAAGCTAAAGCCGCATTCAAAATGAAAGAATGGTGAAGGAGGAATCATAAAATTGACCTCAAATAGATTGTTTGAGAAAAATGGAGATGATAAAAGCCTAGCATTAGTTCACTTCTAAACTTGAGTGAGATCTTCTGCTGATGAATCATTAATTGCTCACAATGCCTTCTAATAACCCTTAAAGAAATCAGCTTCAAAATAAACTGTATTAGTAAAGGATAGCATGCCTACAATTGGATTTTTTTATAAAAAAATAGGTCTAAGTTCTAACCTCATTAAAATGAAACCTCCTTCGATGTTTTACAAGACCTTCAGTAGCAGAGTAGAACATGTCCATTAGCATTGTCTTCCCTGATAGTGGATCATACAAAGATAATCATAAAAGATCTCATTAATAATGATTATATATTCTGTTTTAGCAAATGACAAGACAAGATAGTTTGATGATTCTGAATAAGAAAAGAAGAAAAAAGCAAGCTAATTTTAAATTTTGAGTTATATTTCAAAATAATCTACCCACTATTCAAATGTGGCCAACCTAGAGTTTGTTTGGAACAGTTTTCTCACCGCTTGGTTTACTGCTTCTATGAAATTGTTGTGCTGAAAAACTGTTCTTTACAATCAAATTTGTTAGTACGTTGTTCATCTTTTTCAATATATATATATATATATATATATATATATATATATATATATATGTATGTATGTAGTATATATGTATGTATGTATATGCATACATACTGTATATATGTATGTGTGTGTGTGTAAACACACAATACTAACAGCAACTTTCAAAAGGGCCGCTTTCTACATTATAACTTTATTATCATCTTAACAAAAATGAATCCTTAGTTTCGACGTAACACATTTCTCTAGTTTAACACCTCCGCTATACAATAATCATCCAAAATAGTCTTTCGAGGATTAAATTAGAATCAATTTTGTTCGGCTAAATCTAAAATAGGATCATTTTAATATCAAAATTTTGACATGAGGGAACAATTGGATCAATTTATAAGGTCGAGAAACAAAATTAGAGAAATTTGATATCTTGGAACCAAGTTGACCACAAATAAATAGTCGGAAGAGAATTTTGAAATTTAATCTTTTAGAATTTATCATGAAGCAAAATAATATGTTCCAAATGTTACATCAGATGTAATTTATAAAATTAAATCCAACTCTTTGCTTTAGAATGTGAGCTTGAGTATAAGTTACATATTATTAAATCTTTAAAGCCTATTGTGTTAGAACAATACCGTACCACTCCCAACATTTCCATACAAATAAATTCCTTTAGGCGGATGAGGCAGAACTGGCCGTTCACCAGCTAATGAATCAATCTTTCTCTCCCGATTAAGATATGAGACCATCCTTCCAACTCCAGGCTCTGGATTCCCTCTTCTCCTCCTGAGCCGTAAAACATAAGCTTTAAGGAGAACTAAAGAGCTACAGCTAAAAGACTACTGAGCTGAGGAAGCCAGACCTTATTTCAGAAAGAGAGAAAAAAAACAAAGCAGCAAAATCAGCATTGCATTTAACAGTAGAAGAAATTCCACCAGATACTGTCCAGTGAGATTCAAATAAAAAGTATTTTACAGATAATTATACCCACTATTCTCTGGAAACCTGAAAAAAACGATGACCAAATCAGGATAACCAAGCTAAAACTGCTGTCGAGCTTTCATCATGTGTTAGAGGATTTCACCACATTTAGTTCAAGATCAGAAATTGGCTTCCAAATGAATATGCCACTCAAGCACATGACCATGCCTCCCTCAGAAGATACCATCTTAAGTTTAGCAATGTAAAGCATAAAATTCTGATAAAATTTTACGTCATTTGTTCACATTTAAAAAAACCATGAAAAGCAAATTCAGCTATGTCCACATATTCTTATCGATTTTACATTGATAGCACAAATTTGATCCATCAAACATATGGGATTAGAGGGACATTTGCAACGGATACGTCATAAAAGCAAAAACATTTCTCAGCTGTACAAAAAAATTAACACAAAATGAAAATGGAGGTGGGCGATGTTCTACATAACAAAAATTGCTATGATACTAAAATTTGATGCGTCCTAAAACCAGGAGGAACCATAATGGTTTTGGCAATGCGATTTAGTATTGCTCTAGGGTTTGGCAAGGTCATGATGGGCAGTTTACCAGCAGCAAAAAAAAAATATATATGGATAAAATTTGGCAAGAGAATTCAGATTTCTGAATTTAAGGATTTGTTGGGAAGAGAAGTTAGTTGGGAATTTGAGAGAAGGGAAAGAAGCAAATAATGATAGATACAAAGATAATTTGAAAGAGTAAGAGACTAAAAAGGCGTGAAGCCGTAGAGAGAGAGAGAGAGAGGGAGAGAGAGAGAGGAGCGCGTGACAGAGCTGGGAGATAGAGATGAGAACTAGAGAGAGGTGTCCGCAATTCCAAGAATTTATGCAGCTTAAATTGAAGTGTGAACTAAAGGAGCGAGAGGAACATGCCATAGCCAAATAATTGGGACGTCTGAAGGCCGCCATCAATAAGGTGGTCCAACTGCAAACCAATTAACCACCGAGGGGCGTGCCGAACTTAACATTGAAAGTGGAGAGGCAACGGAAGCAAAGCGAGCAAGTGCAAGTCAGGCACCCACCCACAGTGGGAGACCTCAGAAGGGAGCATGCCTCAGGGAATGGAGCAAATTGGTCAGGAATAGGATAGAGCCATTTTGAGCGAGGAAAACACTAAGAATAATAATATGCCCACTACGACCCCAGCCCGAAAATGCTTCAGATGTCATGGTTTTGGACATATCGCTTCGAGTTGATAGACAAGTTAAGTTATGTCCTTCACAAAGCAGAGGGTAGCAGATGAAGAGAGCAAACTCATAGACAGCTTAAGAACTAAGTGAGGAGTTCCCGCTCCAACCAGATGAGGGTGAGATGTTGGTGGTTCAGAGGGTCCTACAGACTGAGGATAAGAGGGAGCAATAGCTTCCATATTTTATACCTGTTGCACTGTAAAAGAAATGGTATGTAGTCTCATCAGTGATGGAAGGAGTAGTAAAAATGATGTGTCCACACGAATGATGAAAAAATTGAGCCTTGTGACTTCAAGGCATTCCCAGTCGTAACTCCTGACGTGGCTGAAGAAGAATAGAATGAGCATTGACAGAAGGTGTCTCATGGAGCTTTTGATTAAGAGTTAGTTGCAGGATCAAGTTTGGCGTGATGTGATGTCCATGGATATCTATGGACTCAATGTTTGGCTTTTCAAACCAAATTCTAAGTCGTCTTTGCATTTCAACTGTTTGAATGACGTGTTCATGAAACTGTGGTTCAACTTGTAGCCCAAATTTCTAATATTGAGCGATCGTGACTCGCAGCCCGTGTCCCGCGTTCACACCGCTTTTTTTCCCGAATTATTGAGGATCATATATTCTTTCACGACATCTCCCTTCTTTCACTCCGATCCTAGGTAAGGACAGCATTGCAGTGTACGAACACATCTGAAAATCCCATCTTCCCCTCGTGATACTTCATTCTCCCATGCCATTTATCAGAACCTGCGAAGTGCACGTCTCCCATAATTGGAAAAAACACGAACTCCTCCATTGCACGTGAATGGTTTCTCACCTTCTATTCCTGCTTATCTAGCACCTGTGGGCATGTCGAGTCACAGATTTCGTTTCCCTACTGTGTTAAGCACGCTTCATCTTGCTTGTCTGTTGAGCATAGATATGGGATGAAGCTTGTAAAATATATTTCAATTTTTTTTTATGTTAATCCTACCTTTGTTTTGAAAAGAGTCATGCATTTGCTCTTGTAAATAAATCTACTTGTGTCACAAACTTTGGGATCAAGTATAAACTTATTTTTTGAATAGTTGATACTCTTTTTTTCTTTGATTTTATGCAATCCTTTTGAGAATTCTAATATTCCTTTTATTAGTCCATTTTGAAAATTATTTCTTTTTTAATTTTACTTCAGAGAATAACTTTAAGAAAAATATAATTTCTAAAATTTAATCTTATCTTGATTCTATAATGTAACTTGAACTTTATTTTTGTATTTTTGCTTGTTTAAAAGATAGAGTTAAATATGAGAATTACATACATTGATAAAACCTATGAATTTTGTATAATACTAACATAAGGGCATTTCAGACATTTGTCAACAGAAAACACTTTCAAAGTTGTACTTTTCAAGCAGATCTGCTGCTTCTGAAACATCAACTTTTAAGCAATAGATTTTTCATAGCAGTTTTTCAACTGAGATTACAAACAGTCACAGCCGAAACAAACACACCCTAACACTTATTGTTGGGGAGACAGTGGCAGTATGATCGTATGACTCAACATGAATAGTACAAAAACACTTACTCATTCACCTATGATGGAAAGTGTGTCATGCTCTTACCTTGGTGGAGTCTAAGATTACAGGTGCTCTTGCCTGCCGGTGAGATCAATTTTGCTGACGATAAAGGATGATAGGACTAAGGCGCGATTCCAAACATGGGACAGTCACTACAGAGAGCATTTCAGGATATCATGATCGAAACCATTCCACCATGGCCACCACTATTCAAGTAGGTTCAAACTAGTCTCACTTCAGATCAGGTTAATCCAAACTTGGTTTACTTTGGGAGGATTCAACATAATACATGTGACACGAAGTCCCAGTTTAGTTCACTAATGTGCCCACAGATTATTCGACATATATGAATGTATGCTCCCAAGTGGAGAAAACTCAGATGTTTTGGGGTACAATACAATTGCTAGCGGGATTTAGGTGCTTCTGAGACCGCAATCAAAGAGCCTTCAACCACGGGAGATTACAGCATCTCTGCCACCTTCAACATAACAGACTTGAGTCTACAAGAACACAAAAGCTTCGACATATGAGGTTGAAGCTCCCCCAACCACAGGAGTCATCCTATAGGGGTGTCATTTGTGACGCCCGCTATAGTGTCATGGGAGATCACGACTCGGACCAGTCCAATAGGGTCGGTCGACACTTCCTTTTTGTGGATTTCCCTGGAGTGGGGTCCACTCCTATTTACCCTAACTTTGTAAATATGATGTTTTAATATTTTTAGGGTAATTTTTCTTCGTGTTTTCTGTCATAACAGCCATCAGCATCCAGGGTTTCCCTCATAAGGTTGTATCTAACAACGAGTAATGCTTCGTCTGTATCGCGTCTGAGATGGTGATTACCCTCGACCTCCCCAAATACCCCGCAACCATCCCTTCATCGTCACCGCCGCCTTCCCTATCGAAGCCGCCCAAAAACAGCCCTCTTAGCTGTTCTCCTTGCAAACTCCCCGTCTCCCAACAGCCAGCCGCCTTCCATCTTGGATGCCTCCCTGCTCTACCATCTCAGCACCTTCCTCCACCTTCTCCCAACTTTCTACCTCGCTTTCGTAGCCCCGTAAGCCCCTCGCCTTGCTTGCCACTATTGTTCCAGCCACCTGAACCACATCCTTGTCTCCAGACTGTTATTTCAGCACTTCCCATGTGCTACCATTATCGTTTCAGCCGTCCAAATTCATTTCCTATGCAATCTCGCCACTGTCTCAACCGTTGGAACAACCTCTCCCCAGCTTAGCTGTTATTTACACCGCCCAAATCCATCCCTAGCAGTTGTTTCTTCACTTCCCAGTCCACCTACCCCCTCCCTTGCTAACATCTCTCTAAGCCCCCTCACGTCCACCACCATCACACGAGGTCCACCCGTTGTTGAGTTTGTTTATGTTTGTTGTAGTATTTCCCTTTCAAGAGTGTTTTGTTGTAACAATCTATCCGTTTCAGTAATAATATTTGTTTATTCCTATTGTGGTTTGGGTTAATTGTGATATCACACATGCTGATGGATAAACAAAAAGTAAAATATTTATGAATGGCAAGGTTTTAAATTTTGATTTTGGTTTCAATTTCATCCTCTTCTATGTAGGACTTTTTTCATGTTTTAGTGATGAATTTGTTCATTAATATATTTGTAGAATATTCTGATTTTAAAACATAAAATTCAGAAATTATAAAGTGATCGTCTTTTAGTAACATTGATGATTTCACAAAAAAATTATGGATAAGCTCAGCGTTTCAAAGTCTATAGAAAAAATTGTACATTGTTGTGTAAATGAGTATTTTAATATTAAAGACATTAAATAATATCATAACTTGACACGTATATTTGTTGAAAAGAAGATGACAAAGCTCTATAGGGGCGAACTAACTATGACAGAATTGGCAACCTACTCTAAAATTATTTTTTCCTTTTATCAGATCACTATTTTGGCAAAATTGGCCTTGAATAAAAGCTTAATACAAAAAAAAATGGAGATTAAATCTCTTGACCAAGACATCCACACATCTCATTATCTACTCGATCCCTCGTCCTACCCCCATTGTAGAGAGCCAACTATGCACGCAACCTGCAGGCCACAACTGGCAACTCACAGCCCTCGCCAAACCCTTTTCTTGTTTTCCATATTGTCCGAATGAGAGCTATTCGCCCAAATTTTTATCGCCCCGTGAGAGCATTTTGCCGCCTATCTCCAACTCAACCGCCCTTCAACCACTTCCAACCAACCATGAATGAGTCATTGATGTAACTATTTCGTTTAAGTTCTCCTCTCATTTTGCTTGATTTCGGTTTGTTAGAGTAATTTTGAAGAAAAAGCAAAGTTAAAACTGAGATTTGATTGTTATTTATTTTTGGGGCATTATTTTCATTCTTCTATACAAATACATCTGGCATTAGGGTTTACTAATGCAATGAAAATATGATGATAAAAAATTATGCAAAATAGATAAAATAACAATTTGTAACCATATTGTAGGGTTTGATGTGTTAAATTTGATATCAATAAATTTGCCCATCCTCAAACGAGTGGTTGCTTCCACCTTCAATCTTTACATTATATTTTTATGGTTAAAGAATGACGAAAAATATCCTAGAAAGTTAAACATACTCCACCTTATCCACCTCTCCAAAAACCCACTTTCTCTGTTGTTTGATCTTGTCCATACACCATCTTTTTGCTTAACTTCAGCTTCTTCTAACATAAGCCTGCGCCTCTCATTCTCTCTACAATTTTCCCAGTCAGCAAGCTTTTTCTGCACCAAATACAAACTTTAATGCTCTAAATTTACGAAGCTTTGGAGAATATACAATCCCTTATAGCTAATCCAGAAACTTACATGATACTCTTCCATCTCCTTTTCATAATGCACCAGTCTGAGAAGCAGGTCTTCGAATTCCATAGCTACTTTCTCTTGATAAGTATCATGTTGAAGCTTCCCATCTTCAATCATTCTCTTGTAAAGAACAAGTGGACCTTTAGAGAGCACAATATTGAACATAAGCATCAGTTTGAGAACTAAATTTAAGCTATATTTAAAAAATACATTATTTCAGTTTCAAGTTATATGATAAAACAATAGGAAAAAAGTTAAAACTACAACTATTAACATGGAATAAACTAGGGAAAAAAAAATGTGAGTACAGAAAACATTACAAATTGTCAAAAAATCAGAAGGATGAAATGAGAAGCATGAATTGGTAATCAAACTTTAAAGTAAGAACGAAAATAAATTATTCCAGTTCAGTTTCAGGTTATATTTGTAATTTTTTAGACATCCAGAGGAGAAGCAATGTAAACCTCCAAGAATATAATCCAAAGTTGAAGATCCGGGATAAACAGTCATAAAATGTATTTTTATCTGCTACTACCAAAGGGATACAAATGCTATTCTCGAAGAACTAAAGAATATTACAACGCCAAGGATATAACATTCTTCAAAAATAAATCATTCTCCCCCAAAACTTGCATTCACAGGGAAGGAAATTAGCTCTCTCTATAAATATAAATTATGTGATAATATTAGTGCCACTTTTTTGGTATCTTAATGTACACCTCTTTTAAACCTACTTGAATATCAAAAATCTGAATCTCAGTCTTTCGAAGATCACATATAACAAGCAATGTACAAAGGGATAGTTTATTCTGAAGGACAATAAGATTCAACCGACAATATTAACCAAAACATTTCTTTTGAATCAAAACTCCATGTCCAACTCAAATCCTATCATTGATTCACAAAGACAAGACAATATTGATTATGATTATGATCCTAACATGTCTAATGCTACTGTCAATTTCCAATCATCCAATCAGTACTATATCTCCAATGACAAATTTGTTCCATAGTTCTATGTCCTTGCTTTAAGTCTTTCAGACATAAAAAATTTTTAAAAATTCAAGATTCCTTTAAAATATTTGAATGAAAATACGTAGTTCATACAGAAATTCGGTCCCTTAAAGAAATGGAATGTAAAATCTTTAAAATCCTCCCGAAAAGAAGAAAAATTTTGAATGCAAATAAGTCTTTGATGTAAAATACAAAGCTAATAAAATGCCAATCAATGCACCCAAAAAAATTTTAGTAAAAAAGGTTTCAATCAAACTTATGGAAAGGATCATGTAGATACATTGCCCCTGCTGTTACAATGAACATCAGCAAGATGAGTTTTTCTCTTGTTATTAATTTAGATTGGCCACTCCATGAACTAGAGGTAAAAGTTTACCTTTTGAATATGAATTTAGGTGATGGCGTCTACATGACAATTTTTTTCTGAATTTGAGAATAAAAGTAATACAAACCAAGTCAAGAAGCTCAAGAAATCTCTAACAATCACCAAAAGCTTTCTTCAATATATTCACCATGTTGATTAAAACGCATGATACTCTCAAGAACAATATGACCACTCTACTCTTTCTTTGTGAAGAAATTATTTGAAAGTAATTATAAATTGGACGAGATGAATTGATCGCAATCAGTCTCCAAGTAAGAGATTATTATGTGTGGAGCTTGATTGTGGAAAAGAGGAGCCTGGTCATAGAAAGGAGGGGAGCCCCAGAACTTGGTTGGACAACCCAGCGCTTGGCGCCCAGTATAACCTTCTAAAACAAGGAGTCAGGAAACCCAACACATGGATGGCGCCTATGCGCTCCGCAAGACACTTCTTGAATCAGAGAGCAGAGAGATGAGACGCTCCGTAGGAGTACAACTGCACCTGGTTTGATCCCTGTACTTGAGCGCCTGGAAACCAAATGCTCAAGAGTGGTGCTTCAACGCCAACAACTCTTTCTAGTTGTTAGGATTTATTCATCGGCTTCATTGTGAATTTTTGTGTACCTGCTAAAGTTGGATTTTGCAAGTTCTCTTATGAGGGAAATAGAAATGAGTGTTCGTGAGTTCCAAGAGTGTAGAGAGGTTTGAGTCTGGTGTAATTCATACATTTTCCTCAATTCTTTATAGTGAATTTTTTGGTGTGTGTGGCTCAATGGATTTTTCCCAGTCTCAAATTTTTCCACGTTAAATCCTGATGTTCTCTACATTTTCTATGCTTTATTACTTTGTGTACTTTTGTTCTATGTTTTGTTTCGAATCTCTCAATTGGTTTCCGCAGTTTCCTCATAACAGTCGCTAGCCTCTAAGCACGAAGAGGAAGGAGAATAATAAAAGGAGATGCCTTGCAACGGGCAGCACTATCAACATGCGCAAATTGTGCGAAGGATGCGGGAAAGGTCAATTTGAGCCCCAGCATGCGAGAAAGAGGGTTGTGTGTGCGTCTGATGTGAGGAAGAGTGGAAGAGGTGTGGTGAGGCATGTTGTGTGTATCGCGTGAAGGTGGAGAACCGAGCATTATTAAAGAAGAAGGGAGGAGTCACACGTGCAATATATGCATGAAGGAAGAAGGGGAAGGTGAGAGGTGTGCAGGCAGGAGGTTTTGAGGGAAAGCCATGACACCATAAGCAATGAGGAAACTTCACGTGCATTATCAGTGAGGATTCGAACTGAACCAGTGAAGTTTAAGATAAATTAGGGTGAATTTAATATATATGTTTAATTATTAAAATTTAATAGTAGGTTTAATTAAATCAAGATTCAAGTAATTGAAGTTCAGATTGGAAGAAGAAAAAGAAAGTTGTGACATCAAAGATAAGTTTATAGTTAAATTTATTTTTTTTATTAATATTAGTAGTATTGTTTTAGGATTTAAGATTCAAGATTTAGTTTTGTAATTGAAAGTTTTAAGTATTTATTTGGGTTTTTTTAACAATCAATGTCAAAAATTAGAGGCGAAATAAATTTTGGATTGGAAATTGAGGTGAATTGACGATAGTGAAGTGGAGGCAAGATTTATGCATTTATTTATATAAATTGTTTTAATTATATGTCATTAGCTATGTATTGAATTTCATGAGTTGGAATATGTGATTAAATTTGAAAGAGAATTTGATTGAAATGTGGTATAAGAAAATATGTAAACTAATTAGTTATTAATATGTTAATTTAGAAATAAAATCTTTATATATATACTTTTAATGAATATAGGTGATAGTCAAATGAAGTGAAGAAATAAGCATTTACAAAAGACACCTAAATGTCAAGGTGAGTAGGTATTACTTTACTTGTGTTAAGTTAATGTATTATAAGCTTTTAAAGTAATTCATTTATTACACGCTAAAAACACTCTCATAACTAAATGAATATAATTGAAAATGATCTGCATGTTTTACGATTTTTATTCTTTTATTTTGCGTTGCATTAAATGAAAAATTAAATTAATTTAATTATGAAAATAAATATAATATAAGTTAAATGAAAAATAAACGATTAAGTCTATCACGAATCACCTCCTATGTTATCATACTCATACACATTAAAGAAAAAGAAAATGAAAATAATTGTCTTTATATTACAAAATGGGAAAAGCGAATGAAAATGATTATTTATGATACAAATTGGAAAATATTTTAACGCTCCTCCTAAGATGGCATCTAAAAAAAAAGAAAACGGAAAAAATATATATATAGAAATGAAAATATAATTGATAAGATGATTAAAAAATATTTTATAAAAAAAGCAAAGTTAATTTATGATCAGCATATTTTTTTTAACATCCATGTTTAACATTTGCATGAAAATTTAATGCATAATAAATTAATAATTATTCGCTAAATTTTTCAAAACTTAGTGTTTTGTTTAATTGTTATTTTCAAGAAGAAGTTTGCTAGAAAGAAGTGTCTGATATAAGATGATTGGTTTATAGTAGGAGAGGCACTATTGGTGATATATAACAATCTGTTAATTTTTTTTTTTTTTGTTTCTATCATGTCATTTTTATCATATTATTTGTGTTATTGTATCACTAAATGATCGTATGCTTTTATTAGAAAATTGTTTACATGTGCATTGTGAATTTTAGTGGCTCGTTTTTATATGAATGTTATTGCAGACTAATGTTAATATTTAAAAATATTTTTCACCAGCTAACCATCTATACCCGCCTTAGTTAATTCTAAGTTCGTGACAGTTGGTTGATTAAAATATTTCATAGACATGAAATAAAAAGATCAATAAAAAGGATATCTACCGCACAATAGCAATACGCCTAAGGCTTATTAAAAGAAATTGTTATGCTTGGGCACAAATTAGCAAACATGCAAATAGATCTCTCACATAAAGTTGAGACTAAAGAAGACTCAACCTCAATTGAAAAAGGAAGAAACATATGATAAGTGGGGATGCTTATCTATTTATACCCCACTAGACATGATATTTGCTTTCGGAAATAGTTAGCACAAAGGAAAATCTTTATGCCATATATAAGATACCAAAGTATCATAAAAAGACACTTGGAAAAGGGTTAGTATTAAAATCTTAACTGAAGTAAAATGGGGTGAATCTATAATTATTCATAAATTCATATATGGTTATTGATAATTTATAAGGGGTAATTTAGGTAAGTGAAGAAGCAAAAAAATAATTTATGATAGCTCAAAGTAGTGTTAAAACAAAAATCAGAATTATAATCCAGGGCATTTGTAAAGAGAACTTAAATGCCTTCTCAAAGATTTACTAGTCTTCAATACATAGCCTTTGATAATGATATGTGATAACTACGCAAATATTAATATTTCTAAGAATCATGTCCACCATGATCGAAGCTTCTAGACTCTTTGATGATGATACAAGCAAGAAACTTGAACAATTAATCATATGTGTAAAAGAAATTCCAACAAACTTTAGACTCATTGCCGTCCTAGGTTCCTATAAGGTGTTTAGGGAGTTGATCTAGTCGGGAGATGTTCGTGGAATGGCAAGGCAATGATAATATGTGAGGTTGATGGTATGTGGAAAGGAATAGAAGACGTTTGATACGTCTAGGCCTAAAAAAAGTAGAGAGAGCCACAAAATGGCAGCAAAGATGAGGCACGGTTGCCGAGAGAGATTCGCCACATATTCCTGAACAAGCTACAAACACACTACATGCAAATGGAAGAGGATACATCACTCCTTCAAACGGAAATTAGATATACAATCTCCAACTACACAAAACCAAATGCAAAATTCTAAAACTGGGAAAATTAAAAAATATAAATACTTCCCCCATAGAAATAGCCCTAATTATACTTCAATAATATAAAAAAGAGCCCACAAGCCTGGTGGTAGCAACCCAAGCGAAAAAATCCCACTATAGGCCTCCCGAGATGAAATTTTGTCATAATCATATCCACATACATGGGAGAGGCCAAGAGATCCCATCTCCTGCTCTGTGTCGCTCTTGAGCCCTTCATTAAGCACAAATTGACAACCTTATCCAAACTAAGAATGATAAATATCTATTTTGAGCTTGAGGGGGAGTATGAAAATTCTGAATTAATTCCTCAAACCAAACACTTACATTTAATCCTCCTCAGATATTTGCTCCTACAGTTCAATTCAACGATCTCTCTATTGCTAGTCACACGAATTCACTCTAGGTCCCTCAAAGCCACATGGTGTCATCTTGCCACCTCCTAAAGATGCCTAATTACCAATCCTCTACTCTTTACAAGCTAGCCAATTGCTTCTCCACTTGGCTCTTGCCAGCTACACATTCATATTCCATAAAAGATTGATACTACACCTCTACCTACCTCTTTCCGGGCACTCCTTCGTACAAATCCATCAACTATTGCCAGGGAAGAGGTTGTCCTCTATCTTATAAGGAATGAGATATATTATTCCATAGCTTTCTTTATATTCTAGAGTCATAACCTAGGCTATAAATTGTGTACCCTCTCTACCATTTATGATATGAAACTATGTAATATCATACCCTCATATTTCTTAGAATTATCCAACCAAGATAACTTAACTAACAAAAGGAATCGTATATCTTCTTTGCATATTCCACATTAAAAGGTTTGTGAATTTCTTGCTACAAATTTCTTGGTTCATTTGCCCTAGAGAAGAAAAAAAATAATGTTCAAGTAGTTGTTTCCTTTCTGAACATAAAATAAGAAAGAAATGTCTCCCTCAATACTAATTGATCAAGCCAATTCTTTCAAAGGATATTTCGAAGGTATACAAAAAAAGGGATAAAAAGCTAATGACAAGAAAGGAAAAACTAAAAGCAGGGTGAGATAATGTGAACCAAGTATCAAAGAGGAATAAGCCACAGCTTCATACAAATAAAAAAAAGATACCATGCTAAAATTTCTAATACTGGTTTAGTAAGCTCATAATCCAATTTGTTAGTATTATAGACATTTTGTTGTTGTCATATAACATTGCTCTAAGCATGTTGGCACACAAAAAAGATACTAAGAGTTTTAAAGAAGCCCATTTAATCATGGTTTGGCTAACTGCATAAAGGGGAATGGGATAATTTTGTATTATAACAGTGCATGAGTGAAAGTAAATTGATGTAAAAATGTTCTATCTTATTTATTCTGTTACAAGGGAGAGAAATGGAAAGCACAAGAACCCAAATACAGCATATCCGTCACTAAATTGTCTAAGTATTAAAAATGTTAATCAAAATGATAATGATTTTATTTCAAAGGTGTATATTGGTTTGAAACCATATATATAGAAGGATTTATAAACCATGTCCACTCAAACTGCCCTAGTCGTTTCCAATCTGAAAAAACACATTATTTCCCCAAACAAATGAATTTGTGCAAGAATACCCTTGGTTCATCAAGCTATATATCCTCAAAATTCACCAGCAACTTTCTCCATACAACCTTCGTTCAAATTATTCCTTTTTTTTTAACTCCCCAACACCTTCTATGGCCTCGAAACCTACCAATTCGTCGTCTCGAATTAAAAATAAAGCTTAAAAAAATCTTGTTTTCCCAGCCACAGGCAAAAAGCAAATTCACATACCATATCTAACCAAATTTTCAAAGTTTATACAACAAGCCAGCAACAACATTGATGCATGCAAGGACACAGATGTTTTAATATCCATGGGAACCAAATATCAACACCGCTCAAGTAAAACACCAACTGCAACACAACTTGTTGCTTACCTCTAAAATGAAATTAGTGCAAATCTCAGCTCCATTTCATGAAGCAAAAGTAAGCAAGGTGCCATCATAAATTTCAAGAGCCAGACGAAATTGAGGAGGTAGAATTAAAAACTCATGATTCACCTGGGTTTCGCCTTTCTGCGGATAAACGGGATTGATCGCAGTAGCATCGAGCTCGAATCGATCGAAGCGTGCATGATCCTCCGCCAAGGGTTCCGCCAGAAAGCGAGCGGCATAGGTGCAAAGTGACGGAGGCGATCATGCTCATCATAGTGGAAAAGTAGAATCATACAGATCGGCTAGCCGGAAGTGGCGCAAGGCTGCTCTCCTTCAGTCTTCTGCTCGCGTGGCGGCATTTCGAGCGACCACGCTCCGCCGCGAAACGCCGTTTAGATAACAGCCTGGGATGGACTCGGGTGTAAACGAGCTTCAGCTGCTCGGGTCGAGAAAAAATTGGGTACTTAAAAAAGGGTGTTGGGGTTATATCCGTATTATACTCCCATATTATCTATAATTCTTCAATATCCTCTGAATAATCTCTGATGTACATAACTCTGTAAACATCTTACGTACGCAAACTTTTCTCCTCTGAGGGTGTCGGGGTTATATCGGTATTATACTCCCATATTACCTATAACTCTTCAATACCCTCTGAATAATCTCTGATATACACAGCCCTGTAAACATCTTACGTACGCAAACTTTTCTCCTCTGGGTCAGCTGTTCGGCCAGTTTATATTTAGAACTCAAAAGGTGAGTTTGTATTGGGGGTACGTTTTGACAACTTTAATTAAGTAGTTATAAGATGTTAGGCCAGACTTAAAAATTATTATTTATATTAAAACATCATTTAAATTTATTTTAATAATTTTTACTCTATTTTCTTAATTAATATTTTAAATTGATTATAATCTTTGTAGCCTTATATTAGTAGTATTTCGAGCCAAAACGAGTCCAACATGAACTAACAAATATTTGTTCGTGGTGTTCAGCTCGTTAACTTAGCGAACGAGTCAAATACAAGCTTCTTAATAAGTCGAACACGAGTTGTTTGGAAACAACGAATCATTTTGACAGCCCTATCTATAACAAGGTTGTGCTCCTTCACTCTTTTGTTAATAATTATAAAAAAATTACACTTAACTTTTAATTGGGGTTGTTACATATAAAGGCTTCCAAACATTATAATTTATAAATTAAGGTCCTCAAATATACAAATTATGAGGGAGGGTCTACAAATATCATGCAAGAAACATTAATAAAATAACAGTTAAATACTCCTTCATGCTACAGTGTTTCAATATTCTCAGTGAAACTGCAGCGCTTTAAACGCTATATTGGGGAGCTCCAATGGCAACACTTTCCGTTCCTTTTACTTCCCCCCGGAGAGAACTATTTCAGATGCAAACTCTCTCACTATTTTGGAAGAATGAACCTTCAAATCAATATTTTGAAAAAAAGGTAAGCGCAGCACAACCGCAGCCTAGGTCGCCGCCGGCAAGGCTCTCTCTGTCGACTACTTCAAGTACGCCACAAAGTCCGACGATGGTTTACTTCCCTTTGCGAATGAATAGCACTGTGTGTGGCCTAAGAATGTCGCATTTGATTTTGGTTTTGGGTTTTTGTATTGGAGGTTTAGACTTGACTTGTATCTAAACGTGAACCAGTTTCGTTGGATACAGGACAGAGAAAGTCGGGTTAGTAAGAACACTAAGGCGATTGTAAGTGTTGCCACTACCATGGCCAGGGCGAGGAATGCTTGGGATGAAAGCTACATGATAATGAAGACATGAGAAAGATAGGATTTTTCTGTCCTCAGTTTCTCTGCAATTTGAAGGTTTTTGACGAAAGCGCGACAATCTGTTATGCTACTCAGGGGCTCTTTGGAACCATCAACAGTGTCAATGACATTTGTAACGAAGACCTTCCCTCATAATTTGCATGTTTTGGGACCGTTATCTACGAATTATAATGTTCAGAGGCCTTCATATGTAAAAAATTCTTAATTTTTATTTGTAATAAAACTAATTTATGATATTATTTTATCCATTTCAATTTACTCTTAATTTTAAATATTTATAGAGTAGTAACAAATCTTTTATCTTATTAATTCGGCTCAGGTTTTTTGAATATAGAAACAACACAAAAATAGTTTGTTCATTTAAGAAATTAAGATCAAATCCAATAGAAATAAGAAATTTTATAAATACTTAATGCCCTTTGGTGCATTGACATTTCAAGATCCTCAACTGACATGTTTGCGAAATAAACAAAAAAGTAGACATCTTTTTTGATAAACAAGTCCTAAGGCCATAGTAAAAATTATAAATATAGACACACACACACACACATATATATATGTTTTGCTCATGGTTAGCAAAACATATAGGTTATATATTTATATATATATATATATATATATATATAATTTTAAAATAAAATAAAAGAAGTATATAGGAATGATAAATCTTGCAAAAAGAAGAATTAATCAAATAAATAAGAATATGTGCATTAATAAATTAAGGCTAAATAACACATACAATTTGTTATCAACAATAATAAAATTCACTGGTACACAAATAACATAATCACAATAGTATGAGTAACAAATCTGCAAAATAGTTAGAATTCTAATACAAATAAAAAGGATAACTTTATAATAGTAAATGGAGTATTTCTCATATAATAAATAATAGTTACTTATCCTCAAAAGATGAATATGAAAATTCTAATGTCACTCTGGCAATGCTCCATATCTTTCAACTCGTAAAGAAAAGAGGGCAAGGGTGTACTGTTGTGAGACCATTAGTTGAGTGAGAGGATAAGAAGCGAGCATAATTGTTGTCATTCGATGGAGGATGGAGGATGGAGAATGGAGAATTTCACAGTAGTTGCTTTGAAGGAAAAAAAAGAAGCATATTTCATTTGGAAGGGTTCGAAGACTACGGGGGAAGGTAAAACTCAGAGGAAAAGGCTGTTAAGGAAGATCTTTAAACACTAGAAAGATTCTTAGTGTTCTTATAACATAAGCTAAGTTAGCAAGAATTATCAAGGAAAGATCATATGAATCGCACAATGCAATCAAAGGCAAATGTGAAGCGGGAGCTAAGTGAATTGCACAATATGAGCATTCAGGATCGAGGCTATAAGTTATGAATGATCTGACCTTTTGTGCACCAATTCAGTTATAACATACAACATCGTAGAAAAAAAATATTAATTCTCTAGTTAGACCTTACGTGGTTACTATGAGGTCATTATTTCTTCAAACTCCTAAATTGCTTCACATTTCAATGGATTCTTCTAAAGTACTCTAAAATATCAAATAAATCACCGATGAAGCTGTCAAACTTTACAATGCATAATATGCTCTGATACTTCTATATAAATTAGGTATGTGGGCTCCGAATATTTGAAATGCACTGTCCTACCTTGAAATAAAAAGAAAATGAAATGCAAATTGGGAAGTTTACTAGGAGGTTCGAGCTCAATTTTTCAAAAGACATATAAGATAGTAGATAAAACACTAACTAGAGATTTCACCCTCATTTTATGAGAACTTTAAGATCTAGGACTAGAGATTTCTCACAGATGTAAGCCTCTATGATTAATTACCCTTCACGATAATGTGATAGCACTTTCAATTATAGTTATTCAATAAACTCTTAAGTTAGCATACAGTAATAACAAATTTATGTTTTTAAATTATAAACTTATTGTTGTAGCTTAAGAGTGGGTTGTATGAGAAATGTTGGCGAACCTAACAAGAGATCATGATTATGTCATCCATAATTGTCATGATACATAGTCTACTTAATCATAGGAGATAGTAGACCCAACCTAACAAAGGTTTCTTTATCAGCAGTCATAGGTTATTTTGTCTGAGGGAACCTTAGAAACCTAGGTTGATTGTTAGTCTAATGGGGACTAATCTAAGTAAACTTTAGCTTACATTAGGATTTATGCTCTATCAAGTATACCCTATGATTCATAACTCAAATGAGAAGGTTGTCATTAGGGAACATATGGGTCATAGTCGTGATCGTTCTGTAGTAGAGCCTACTAGCTAATTCACTTGATGAAGCCTACTAGTCAAACTATCTGGTCAGAGGGGCATAGGTTGTAGTCACTTCTTTAGAGCCTACTAGCCTAATCAAATGGATAAAACACTATGGCCATGTTCTTTCCGGCACATGATTATTTTGAGTATTAATATTGTAGAATACTTGATATGATATTTAGTTATATGTAAGTTTGAGTCAACATTAGATTTATCCATCCCAATAAATTATTGTGAATGATGGATGAATTTGTGCTTTAAGCATTGAATGATTTAAATATTTAATACAGTTTTTAATTAAAATTTTTTATTTTTGAGAATGCATCTCCTTCAATTAAGATGTGCAATGAATATGTCCATCATCAAGGATTTGAACTATTTTATTTGAACCTTATCAACTTTATCCTGCTCATTGGGGTCAGTTTCATAGTATATATTATTTAAGTTTTAAAAATAGACTTTGAGATTTTATTTCAAAATTAGGCTCATTGATACACCAAAATAATGTGTTGCTTTAAGTATACATTTTATGTTTATTTTTTGTTGTTTATTTTTTGTGATA